GGGGGGTTATATCTCTGGGATGAGTGGGGTGGAATGAGGCCACTGGGGTGGGGGGGAGCGCAGGTGGAGGAGGCATTTTTTGCGGGAGGGAGCGTTTAAGGAGGGTTTTGTCCCTCGGTGTGGCTAGGGGAGAGAATAAAAGCGGAGAGGTATACCTCCTGGATGAAGAGCAGCTTGTCCCTCAGTGAAGGAGGGAGGGGATCAGACAGGCTGCTCTGGAAATCCCTATCTGATCACGAGCTGTGCTCTTCCCAACTTTCATTTTAGGACATCCAGCAACTCTTCATCTGTTGCCATGGGGTGTCTGTTCTCTCTCGGGGGTAATGTGTCTTCCAGGCAGAGAAGAGAGAATGAGGAGGACTTACTAGACAGCAGAGATCGTGAGGAAGACATTGCCAAGTTTCCGTATGTTGAGTTCACAGGTCGGGACAGCATCACCTGCCCAACTTGCCAAGGCACTGGCTGTATTCCCACAGGTGAACCTATCTGTATTGAAACTTAAATCCCAAAGCATTTTACACATGGGCTAGAAACCTTCTTTATTTAGGTAAAACTCTTATTCCTCTCAGGATCTGGTTCAAAATTTCCCTCTTTGATTTCCAAATCTCTTCTGAAGTGTACTTGGCTGCCCTTGTTTCTCTTTCTGCTACTGTTTTAGTTTCTCCTGTTGTATAGAAAAAGTTATTGAATTAACTTTTTGTGTAGAAAAAAGCGTGCATTGAATTAGGTTTGTACTCATCCCACATCTCCTTACAAGTTCCCTCTTCAAAGCCTGGTCACTTCCCAAGACCAAAGCTCCTAAATAGTGTTTGAGAATCTTAAGGCACTGGACTAAGAAGAAAAGGTTTCTTGGGCTAGATAGTCTCATCATGGGGCCATCTGTCCCATGGTGTTCTTTAACTGTTAAGGCAAGGAAGCAATGAGACTGTTTATCCAAACCTAGCCTACAGGTAACAGTGATATTTGTATTGTCTGCTACAGTCTAGAAAAGAATGTTCCTTCTCATGTTGAGGGATCACAGTATTAAAGTGCATACCCAGAAACCCTTGGCAGCTTTTAGTCATTTCCAATGCCCTCAGTCTTAGGGAGCTTAGTGCATAGTGACCTTGAAAATGGGTGGAACTGACAAAGCTTTTTCCTTTTGTCTTCTAGAGCAGGTAAATGAGTTGGTGGCACTAATACCATACAGTGACCAGAGGCTCCGTCCCCAGAGAACGTAAGTTCAGAGTAAAAGAGTCTAACGCATGTCCACTAATCTTTCTCATGAAGAATAAATGTGTGTGCTCCTTATTTGGTGACTGGTTGTGCTGCCACAACTAAATATTGCACTGACTCTGCGTTTCCTTCTGTGCTGCCTTCCATGCTTTAGTTTAATCTAAGATAATGCCATCAAACACTTCTTTAGCTGTAACTAAATATTTCCCATTAACTCCCACTCTTGGGGTGTGCATGAAAACCCAATACCTAGTCCACTTCATGCCTGTTACAAACTTAAAAGAAACTCTGGCTTATCAGCATCAGAAGCACCAGACTGAAAACATTAAGGGGGGGGGGGGATGACTCTGAGTGCCATGTTTACATTTTTTGGTACACTCAATCCCTTTCTTTTTGGTAAAATGCCTCAGTTTAAAGGGCCTCCAGTTCTTTATTTGAGCCGTTTAGACACATTATCCAATGTAATCTTATTCGTGTAATAGTAGCACTTATTATTTGTGATATGTTTCTCCAGGGAAGCTCAGGTGCATTGTCTGATAGCTGGGGGAGTGGTTTATGAATAGCACTTGTCATTTTCCCAGGGAATCCTTTGTTCTTTCATTCCTTTTTCTTCTCCTGGTTTTTAGAGAGTTTCTGTAATGCTGGAACTTCATTAGTAACAGCTGGTGATCTAGTCTCTCATTGTATGGGAGGAAACAGTGCCCATTGGATTTAAACAAACAAGCCAGGACTTTGTGTGTGTGTGAGGTTGGCCCAATGGTTTGGGCACTAACCTAGGACTTGGTAGGACTGAGTTCATTTCCCTGCTCTGCCACATACTTCCTGTTTGACCTCGGGCATGTCACTTAGCATCCCTGTGCCTTGGTTCTCCACATGGAAATGATAGCCCTGTGCTATTTTACATCTGATAGGGATGTTGTGAGGATAAATACATTAAAGATTGTGAGGTGCTCTGATGCCCCAGTTATGGGGACCATACAGGTAGCTCAGATCTGTGGTTTCCTCATGGCTGCGCCAGAGGGTTACTGAGTCCCTCTGTGTCTTGGTTCATGCATATGTAAAATGGGGATAATCTGCTTCCTACTTTCCTCGGAGCCTTCAACATCCGTTCCTGTTTGTAACTTGAGCCTCTCCAGTCACAAGTGCAGTATTAGGGCAAAGTGGGTAAAATGTTCATGTCTCTTGTAGGAAGTTCTATGTGCTGCTGTCTGTGCTGCTCTGCCTTCTGATACCCGGGCTGGTGATTTTCTTCCTGTTTCCACACTCGGTCCTTGTGGATGATGAGGGCATCAAAGGGGTTCAAGTTTGGTTCGACCAGAAAAACTCCATGGTCATTCTTGCCATCACGGTAAAGCTCTGTCTAATCCTTTGTCTGAGTGAGTTTGCCGCTGGATTCTGGAGGACTCGGCTTCTGATGTCTTCTCTCTTTCTTGATACAGACCACCCTGAGGATCCGGAACTCCAATTTCTATTCGGTTGCAGTAGCCAGCCTCGCCAGCCAGGTGCAGTACATGAACACTGTGGTTGGAAGCCAACAGATTACCAACGTGTCCCGCATCCAGCCACTGAGCGACAAACTGGTATTACAGCCTTTCTTGAGTATGATCTGGGGCTTAAGCTGTAGAGCATATTGAACCGTCCCCTACTGCTGGTGATACTGGCCTTTGGAAGTGACCCACAGCCAAATGGCTCCAACTGAAAAAGTTAGATGACTTATGGCTGAGGCTCCTTTGCTAATGAGTGGGACCTTCTGCACAGAGAGAGACACCTTCCCTTCTTCCTCTCCTCCCAGCTTGTGCATGAACCAGATGGGACCCACAGCTACATTAAAATGCAAGTGATGAGACATCACCAGTGAGGCTTCACATCTCTGACCAGTTCCTTGTGTGGCTAAACACACCCTGTACTGGAAATGGAGAACTGGGGTGGGACTAGACAAGAATAAAGATGTTAGGGCTGACAGGAAAAGAACAAATCTAGCATCCTCTCCCACCCCGTCCCATCCCCCCTCGCCCCTCAAAAAAGACAGGATGAATTAATAGGAATGAAGGGTCTACTACATATATTGGTGAAAGAAGAAAATGCTGGATAGACACTGGGGAGGTTGATGGTTTTAATGACTGAACTTTGAACTGTTTTTACAAAAGTTAACCAAGTAAGTTGGATGAGACAAGGTGAGTCTGGACAGTTTAGTCAAGAAGTAACTGGTAAGCGATAATACTAAAAACTACAAGTCTTAGTGCTTGCCAAGTGATATGGCACCCCCCCCCCCCCCCCCAAAAACCCAACCCGATGCAGCTTTTGGAACCACTATAAAGAAGTGTTATGCCAAGGTAATCTCCTTCTGTTCAGCTCTGGCAAGGCTGCATCTGTTGGGTTCCAGGGAAAAGATGCTTATAAACTGGAGAAATCCAAACAGAAATGCTTCTGTGGGGGTGAAAGGGGCTGACTTGGGAAGAAGGATTAAAAGAAACTGGTTTAAGTGTCACTCATGGTGTGTTGGTTGACAAATATCTGAATGCTGTGAATGGGAGAAATTTGTCTAAAGAGGTCAAATTAGAGTATAACTAGAAGTAATAGGATGAAACTAAACACGGGAGAATCTAGGCTAGAAGGAGAACCTTCCTGACACTGAGATGTAGTGACTAACCTTCATCTACAGCACAGCTATAACCAAGCCAAGACACTCAGTTTACAGCATTGTTGGGTCCTGCCCCATGACAAATTTCAACTGTGGTATTACTCTGTTTCCTAACTCGGTGATAGTTGTGTGGATTAGGCTTTGAATGGTGAAATAGATGCAAAGAGACTAGAGTCTCTTATAGCTGGACTGAACAAAGCACTGGAGAACGTATTGTTGGGAATAACCTGACTTGGTTTGGAATCAGAATCAGAAGATTAGGGTTGGAAGGGACCTCAGGAGGTCATCTAGTCCAACCCCCTGCTCAAAGCAGGACCAATCCCCAGACAGATTTTTTTTTTTTTTTTTTTTACCCCCATTTCCCTAAATGGCCCCCTCAAGGATCGAACTCTCAACCCTGGGTTTAGCAGACCAATGCTCAAACCACTGAGCTATCCCTCCCAGGTCACTTGCATCTCTTAACTTCTGATTCATGATACTATTTGCTGAACATGTCTTCTCTTGTCCTTTTCAGGTGAATTTCACTGTGAAATCAGAGATGGGTGGACCTTTCTCCTATGTGTAGTAAGGATTATTTATTATTTATCTCTACATTTCATGCAAAGAATCTGCTTAAATTGGATATCACTGAGTAAACAGATCTGACTCCTACAGCTTTATTTAACGAGTCCTTGTTGGTCAAAAATATCAGACCCGACAGGTCATCTGTGCCACACTTTTCAAATATTAAAAAAATTGTTAAATGTTCCGGACAGTTCAGCCAGAACAGCCCCAAAGCAAAAAGGGAGTTCCAGGATGCCCAAGAAATTTTAAAATGCCTTTCTAAAGTTTGTTATGGATCAAACTCTGTTTTAGTCTTTCTTCCAACATGTTTCTCTGTGTTGGTCTCTTACAGTTTCTTTTGCACATTACCCAAGGTCAAGGTGCATAACATAGCGATCTTCATGAGGTATGTAATTCTTCTTATGCTCTACTGCACTGGAAATGGAATTGCAGTGACAAAATTACAGCCTTACTTAGACTTGAGTTCCTTCTCTTCTGCTGACACATTGGGCAGTCCAGTTCCTTCATTGATCGCTTGCTAGTTGTGGTACTCCTTTCCAGATGTGCAGATTTGGTCATCAGGATTTGATGTCTTGAGATATCTGCTTCCTTTTGGCTTTCACTGAGATCTGTCATACTTGCATTTTGAGCTTCATTTGCACCTACCGTCTTCAAGTTTTGGTTTTAACTGGACTCTTGCTGTTGCAGTAAGGTTTTACCTTAGTGGGTCACAAACCCAACAGCAGAACCTTCCTCTTTAATCCGGGTTTGGGACTAGCACTGTTGCTAACACTGTGAGAGTTAAACCTGTAGCACTGCATACCAATTCCTTCTGGGAAGCATCCCAAGCTAGTTCCATGTGTCTGGAGGTCTGGCCAGCTGCTAGGAGATATGGATGTGAAAGTGTGGGTTACCCTCTGTAGGAGAGGACAGTTGATGGAAGAACCGGGAGAGGGAGGGGGATGGCAAAGCAGGTGATGGTTGTATCAGAAGAAACTTTCAGTATCTATCATACAGTTTCCTATCACAGTGATCTAGGGGCCTAATCTCTAGCTCTGTTTTCATGAGTATCCTGATTGACTGCAGTAGGGCTAGCCAGGCGAATAAGGGCCGCAGAGACAAGCCCTGGCTGCAGGCAAAGAAAAGCTGTGGAAGTTGGGTGGGCCTTTGATTATTAAAGGGGCATATTTTCTCCTCTATTCCATTAGCAGCAGAGGGGAGGGCTATATGTGCCTATTCCTTGTGCCTTCTGATGTCAGTCTCCGCTTTTGGCATGGGAAGTTTGATTCCACTTTTAACTAGGGCACAGTCAGCTGTGGATTGCTGCCTCTCTTTAAGAGTATGGTGAGTGTATTTGCAGCAGGCTGCTGGCCCCAACAGCTGTGAAGAATGCAGAACAGTTAAAGCTTAGTTGCATAAGTGTGAAAATCTGATATGCACCTAAGCAAATTCTGATAAAGAAGAAAAATGTCCCACAAACTAACAAACCTCCTTTATCTTGGTACCTCTATACCACAGTGATAAGTGCTGTATAAATGCCCAAGATTGTCAGCAGTTTTTGAGGGGAAGGAGATAACTAAAAAGCAGTGCCACTCCTTTTGCTGTCTGATATTTTCATAATCTCTTCCCAGATTAGTGTCTTTACATTTAATAAGCCAATTAAATATTACTTGTCCTATCTGAGCTGAACTGAATCTCTCTCTTCCAGAACATCAGTGAAAATCTCATACATCGGCCATGTGACTCAGAGCTCCTTGGAAACATATCACTATGTAGATTGTGGCGCTAATTCCACAGCGGTCCAGGACCCTCGGCCTGTGTCCACCCCACCTACTCTAGATAGTGTAACCAAAGAGAGGAGGATACTCTGAAGACACCTGAGTCAACTAATACTTCTCTTGGGGAAGTGATCATGCAGACTGACTTTTATTATGAATTATGTACCTGTAGGCAGGATCACAAGGTAACTTTTAAATGGAATTAGAGGGATCATTGATGTCCTTGGAGAAACTTGGAGTGAACAGGTGGTGTCTGAAATCACGTGGCACTTCACGTTAATGCATATGCAACTTGGCTGCACTGCTTACCTTTTTGGGCAGTGATTTGAGAGCATGTCCACTTGTGATCCAATCTGATCCTCCCCAAAACATGCTGAGTTCCCACCCACTTATAACTTGACATCGATCTGGTATTTAGCTGTTGCAATGAATTTCTTAGAATTGAACCCAGAAGAAATCAAGGAACTGTTTTAAATATATCTTTCAATGAAAAGACATAATGAAATTCAGAGAAGGCTTCAGACTCTCTCATTGCCTTGGGATAAATGCTGGGGATTGAATTTGGCTGCTGTTTGGTGGGCTCTGCTCTATTTTTTTTTTTGTCCTTTTTCCGGACAAACATGCTGTTTCGGTGAAACTCTTTTTGCCCCTTGTTCTGCTCAGTGACAGCACGCCATTAAAATATGTTATGGCATTTTGTTAGTAGGATTTCTACGCATAGTCATTCCAGGAGAGATTGGCACTCATATTTATTCTCTGTAGATGGAACTTGTGACAGATGCTGGAAGGGGAAATAATTGGAGCTAACCAGCATATGTTCTATTTGAGGTGGTGGTTTGCTTACTGACTAAGTTATCTGAGGGTGTCCCTCTACAGTGTATCAAATCCCTATTGTCTTAGTGATGGCTGTGTTTCAGTAGGTTCACCGCTCCAATGGAGTCGTACTGATTTCCTTGTATGGACCATATAGCTCAGGGGTTGGCAATGTTCGGCACGCGGCTCGCCAGGGTAAGCACATTGCTCGCCCGCGCCGCTTCTCGCCCCCCCCATTGGCCCGGGACGGCGAACCGCGGCCAGTGAGGGCCGCGATCGGCCGAACCTGCCGCCTCAGCAGGTAAATAAAACTGGCCCGGCCCGCCAGGGTGCTTACCCTGGCGAGCCGCGTGCCGAACGTTGCCGACCCCGATATAGCTCTTGGGCCTTTTTCCTTCATGCAGTGTTTTGAAGCTACTGCTCTAGGTATATGTTGTAATTAAAGTTCTTGGGTGTCACTGAAGCTAGGGAACCTGTCACTGAGCAGTTTGATCTGTATACTTGCTGCTTTCTTTTAGCAGGAAAACTTTTTGTACCAGTTTGTAAGGGCCAGTATTTTAGAATAGCATTTTTGTACTTCTGTATACTTTCGCTAAAAGAAGGGATTTAAAGATTATATATGCAGTATCCTTGTGTAGTTTTTCCAGACATCGGCTCACTTTTACATGGGGATTTGGCTGAGTGCAGACTTGAGATGATTTCACTTAAGTTAATGGGAGTTACCTGTCTCAAATGCTCATTTTAGTGATGCAGTTTATATCTTAGGATGTATAATAGTCAGTTAACCCTGGTACAGAAGGCTAAGCACAAGGTATTTTAGTTTTAAATTTCTCACTTCAAATGATTCTGTAGGCTGCTTCTGAGCCAGACTCTTGCACATCATGATTTCAGGGCTCTTAAATTCACTGTAATTCAACTCAGCTTCCCCATTTCTTTTGGGCTAAATCAACTGGCATCTTTCTCTATCTTGCTTTAGAGGAAATAGCTATGCTAGTGGAGAGGAAAAACCAAACAGTCAAACTCTGAAAAGGAAACTGATAATATCTAAAATGTTTCATTGAAGAAAGCTTGTTTGTTATTGGTGTGAAGTAGAAAATGAACCTTATTTTAAGAAAATGTTACTATTGTATAGAATTGCACTTTACTGGCAGAATTTCTAGAACTGAATCTTGCTAGACAAATAAAACCTGAGATTATTTACCACTAAGTGTCATTTGAATGGAGTAGTCCCTGGCTCTTTTCATCTCCTGCATTTCTGCCCTGGACTTTGAATACTTTATACTGCAACTGGCCTGATGCGCCACTCTCAGCTGGCTAATCTATGTATTATCAATTTGCAATACTTGTATTACAGTAGTATCTGGTGTCCCTAATCATGGATCAGTGCCCCAGCATGCCAGGACCTGTACAAACACACACATAGGGCTTAAACCAATCTCCACCTCCTCGAGGTGAGGGTGAGGCTGATGTGGGATAGCCTGCCCTCAACATCTGCCTACGTTGGTGTTCTTGCACCTTTCTCTGAAGCATCTAGTGCTGGCCCTTGCCAGAGACGGGATACTGGACTAGATGGACCTTGGCTCTGATCCAGTGCGGGAGTTCCTGTGTCCATATAGAGATGGTCTCTGCCTCAAAGAGTTTGCAGTAGAAGTACTCTAGCATCAAACGTTTTTCTCCTGGATAACATATCCCTTTAATCTGCATTTTGTCCTGTTTTTCTTTATGGATCTTTCCAAATGTACTAATGTGTTCTGTTCCCTGTGAATTGGTGAATGTTAGAGCCCAAACGCTGAACTTCAGAGAACCATCTAAAGTACTCAGTGCAGCAGTGTAAAAGCATTAACTAAAATATCGCCCATTCTGGGCCTGCATGGCCCAGAGTGCACTATGCACTGCCCCTGATCTGCAGGGTAAAGTAGGTACTGGACATCCAGCTGTTAGGATAATCCATTCCTGCCACCCACATCTTGAGTCATTGGAAGGCACCTCCCAGCTGCAGCAACCTTCTTTCTAGGTCTCCCCTTACCGCATGGATATTTCAGATGTTGTGTGCTCTGAAGGGGGCAATGCATTCTGTGACTCACAGTTAAAACTGTGTGCTTAATTTGTAATGAAAGAAATGCTGGGGTTCAAGCAATTTTTTTACTTTCCTGACTGACAGGGCAAGCCCAGAGGTGCCAGGGCTCAACCCTGGCAAACCCCTGCACAAATCTTAATTTATGTCTAATAATTAGGACTGTCAATTGCAGTTAACTCAAAAAAAATTAATCGTGATTAATCACACTATTATACAATAGAATACCAATTGAAACTTACTCAATATTTTTGGATGGTTTTTCTACATTTTTCAATATTGATTTCTATTACAACACAGTGTTCACTTTATATTTATTACAAATATATGCACTGTAAAAATGATAAAAGAAATTGTATTTTTCAATTCACCTCAGACAAGTACTGAAGTGCAATCTCTTTATTGTGAAAGTGTAACTTAAAAATGCAGATTTTTTTGGTTACATAACTGCACTCGAAAAGAAAACAGTATAAAACTTTAGAGCATACAAGTCCACTCAGTCCTACCTTATTCTGCCAATCGCTAAGACGAGGTTGGTTACAATTTGTAGGAGATAATGTTGCCTGCTTCTTGTTTACAATGTCACCTGAAAGTGAGAACAGGTGTTCACATGGCACTTTTAGCCGGCGGTACAAAGTATTTACATGCCAGATATGCTAAACATTCATGCTTTGGCCACCATTCCAGAGGACATGCTTCCATGCTGATGATGCTCGTTTAAAAAAATGTCAATTAAATTTGTGACTGACCTCCTTGGGGGGAGAATTGTATGTCTCCTGCTCTGTTTTACCCACGTGCTGCATATATTTCATGTTATAGCAGTCTCTGATGATGACCCAGCACATTTGTTTTAAGAACACTGACTGCAGATCTGACAAAATGCAAAGGTGGTACCAATGTGAGATTTCTAAAAATAGCTACAGCACTCGACCCAAGGTTTAAGAATCTGAAGCCTCGTCCAAAATCTGAGAGGGATGAGGTGTCGAGCATGCTTTTAGGAGTCTTAAAAGAGCAACACTGATGCGGAAACTGCGCGCGGGGCGGGGTGGGGGGAATGAACCTTCTGCTGGTGGCGTCTGACTCTGGTGATGAAAATGTACAGACTGACGCATGCTCTGCTTTGGATCGTTATCAAGCAGAACCAATCATCAGCATGGAAGCATGTTCTCTGGAATGGTGGTTGAAGCATGAAGGGACATATGAATCTTTAGTGCATCTGGCATGTAAATATCTTGCAACGCTGGCTACAACAGTACCATGCGCACGCCTGTTCTCACTTTCAGGTGACATTGTAAACAAGAAGCGGGCAGCATTATCTCCTGCGAATTGTAACCAACGTTGTTTGAGTGATTGGCTGACCAAGAAGTAGAAGTGAGTGGACTTGTAGACTCTAAAGTTTTACATTGTTTTATTTTTTGAATGCAGTTTTTTTGTACATAATTCTACATTTGTAAGTTCAACTTTCATGATAAAGAGATTGCACTACAGTACATGTATGAGGTGAATTGAAAAATATTTGTTTTTAACAGTGCAAATATTTGTAATAAAAAAATAAAGTGAGCACTGTACACTTTGTATGCGGTGTTGTAATTGAAATTAATATATTTGAAAATGTAGTAAACCTCCAAAAATATTTAAAATAAATGGTATTCTATTGTTCAACAGTGCTTAACAGCCTTACTAAAAATCGTAACATATAGTTAGGTTATGATCTAACACCAGTTCCCTCTTCCCAGCTGACTAACTCTCTCTATCCCAAACCCATGTTACACCTTCCAGCTACAATCACGCTGTCTTTTTTCCTCACGACCCCGATGGAGGCAAGCCAATAATTTTCACCCATTCTCAGGTGTGTGTGTCTACTTGACCCTCGTGGTATTGAGTGCCAGTTCTTCCAGGAAATTGTGGTCCTGAATTTTTGGGAGGCATTTCTTTCTTTGAGCAGAACCAGTGGTTACAGACCATGCACGTGTGTAAGGCTTGAACCAGCACCATGAAATAAGTTCTGTTGTTCGTTTTTATTCAGTTTGTGTGTCTCAGAATCAAAAGAACAAGGAAATTGAATGGGAAAAAAGCCCTAATTGTGAATTCAGCATAACACATGAAGATTCAACTATGTGAGTATCAGGAAATTCCAAAGTTAAGGATGATTTTAGCACCATCAACTTGCCCCCATGTTGGGGTCATTAGGCTGATAAATGCCTACTGCCTGGGCCAAATTCTTCTCTCACTGAGAGTTGCTAACTCTTGTGGTTTTTATCATGAGGAACTCATGAGTATTTTTCTTCAAGCACCAGCTGGGCTTCAAATTAATAAGACTAGCTTAAGCCATGAGATCTTTTAAAAACAGTGAACTTTGGGTTCTTTTTATTTGCCTTTTGGTTTCCAAACGGGGGGTTCAGCCTTTAAATCAACATGGGGACTACTTCATAGACCTGGGTTCTTTTCCTAGCTGTGCCCTATGCCTGCTTGGAGACCTTGGGCAAGTCATGTACCCTTTGTGCCTCTTCATCCTCATTTTTATGGATGCGGAAAGATGCTGACCTCCTTTATGTGGGGAGGGATAGCTCAGTGGTTTGAGCATTGACCTGTTAAACCCAGGGTTGTGAGTTCAATCCTTGAGGGGGCCATTTAGGGATCTGCTTTGAGCAGGGGGTTGGACTAGATGACCTCCTGAGGTCCCTTCCAACTCTATGAGTCTATGAAGTTTGTAAAGCGCTGTGAGATCTACTGATAAGTGCTGAATAAGAGCTACATAGGATACATTGCCTGGGATTGGTTGGTGTAGGGTTACCTAGAATCTATCTGCAGGCTTGCCTATGATGCCAACATATGAGGATAGCAGCAGCCCTTATATAACCCATGCTAATCAAGTATGGCTCTGTCCTTCTCTAGGGGTAACCCATGTATAGAGGTTTATGACACTGTTAGAGTTCTTTAACTCAAGAGGCTTGTGGCTCAGAGCCAGCGCTCACGGCTTCAGTCATTGCTAACAACCCATGTGAGGACATTTTATTACACTTACTGGTTTCACTGGGAGCTGTTGCCCTTGGTTTTTGTCTGGCTGTGCATGTGCACCTCACTTGATGCCTTCATACACATTGCAACCAGCGTTTGTAAGTGTTGTACAGAGGGCTGCTGGGTAGTGGTTTCCAGCATGGGCCTGGGGCTGAGTTATGAGTCCACACTAGAAGCATTTGGCATTTTAAAGTGTCTCTTTAATAAATAAATAAATTTAAATTTTAAATCTTCCAAGCTGGCTGTTTTTAATTAATTTCTTGTGACAACAAATTAAGGCTCTGATCCTGCAAGGATGTATTCATATATTTAACTTGACACAGGAATAGCTCTATTAACAGCCGTGCAGTATCACTGACCCTAAACGTTCAACAATCATGAGTCTGGGCTCAAAAAATCATGGGACTTAATAAATAAATTTGGAGGTTTTTATTTGCCTTCTGATTTTTGAGCCTTTTTGTTTAATTTCAAGTTCTTCTCTACAACTGAGAGTTCTATGCAGTTTAAAAAAAAAAATGAAAACTAAGTCTTACATAATCACTGGAGTCCAGGAGCTGGGGCTTTAAGAAAAAATAAAAAAATTCATTAGACTTGTGATTAAAATCATGTGCAGGGGCAACACAATTATGCAGCATGGTTAAGCACAGTTGTAAAGCTGTGCAGGATGAGTAGATGTATTTGTTTGGGGGGTGGGAGGGATTTCAGCTACAGAGATTTTTCTTCCAATTAGCTTCCAATTTTTTGGAAGGAAGCTTGTTTTAATTAAATCATGAAATGAGAGCCATTTTAGTTAAATATTTTTAATTAAAAATTTTTATTTGTGTTGTTTTGGTTTGTCATGAAAGATCCCAGATAAGATAAAACATTATTTAACAAAGATTACATCATCGGGCAGCAATTAATACAAATAAAAACAAATTCAACACCGGTGTCTTTATTTTATTTTTTTTAATAGGAAAAGCATTCTATCTTTAGTGTGGAAAAATAAGGGAGTGGAGGGGGGAGATGGGCTGAGAAAGACAGGAGAACAGAGTTGTTTCACAAGCGGTGTGTGTGAACTCTCTACCACGCTTCAGATTGGTCTTGTAAAATATATTTTTTTAAAAAGTCTATTTTACATATATAAAGTAGTACATATTCCTGGGTTGGTTTGTTCCAGTCTTCACGTCACCAAAGGGTCATTTGAAAGCAAGGCACTCTCAGAGTGGGGGTGGGGTAGAGTTAGCAAGCAGTTTCGGGGGTCAATCCACATGCTTAGTTTTGGAAATAAACGTTAGAAGAAACTTTAACTAGCTAGCGCCCAAGTCCTTATTACGGCAAATGTTTTCATGTATATCCCATTCACTTGACATCTACTGCAATACCAAATGTGTAAGACTTAAGGAAGATATAACACAACATGTCAGATCCAACTTGAGAGCTGCTCTCGGCCTCCCTGGGCCATTACTGGGTTCCCCCGCCTTTCTTTAAATATTCCCACTAAACCTGCCACAGACGAGAGGGAGCATGTGCCCAGAAGTCCCTTGCTCAGCACCATTACCTTGTAGAATTAGTGATTTCCCTTACAGAAATCTCACGGCTTCTGTGTTGTCTGCTCCTGTGATCAGTTTCAAGATTTTTTTTTTTCCTTTTTAATTTTTTTTTATTTTTTTATTTTTTTTTTTTGTATGAGGTAGCTTAAAACCAGGGAAGTTTGAGATTGGACCCTGAAACTTCCTTTATCTTGGGTGGGGGGGGGGGGGGGGAGTTAACAAACCGAGAAAGGGATGAAGGGAAAGCGTTAGAATGCTGGAACTTTCTACGGATAGAGACAAAAAATAAAACCTCAGATCAACTTGTACTTTCCAACAAAGTTTTTTTTTATATCAATTGATGTTAAAAAATACAGACTTGTTTTACAATAATAGCACCATTTTTGTTGTATTATACACAGTACTCCTGCTGACGATTTACACTGGGGGGGAGAAGGATTGGTTACTTGGGACATCCATTTTGTAAGGAGGGGCCTTCACACCTGCCAGTTAGATTCCCACCTCCGTCTGACCCAACAAGAGGTCTTACAGGAAGACAATAAATAAATAACACTGTGATTTTATTTCACGGTCTGCCCAGTGATGGCTTTAGAAATAGACAATAGTCCAAAATGTAAGCGTGTGGATGTATGGCAATTGGGGGATTGAATCACCCATTCAGTGCAGAAGTCATACAAGTGATTGGAAAGTACTCAGGTCCTTGGGGTGGGTGGGGGGGGTTGGTTTGTTTTGGGTTTTATTAATGGAATTGGACTGGATTTTTTAAAAAAATGTTTTTTTTTTCTTTTTACAAAAAGCAGACTGGCCCAATGTCAACGCCAAACTCCTGATCGGCTCCACCAATGTCCATAGGTGCAACATCAATGATGGGCAGGCGCGAGGTCTTCTGTGATCGGTATTCAATGACTGTTTTGCCCCATTTGCCAGTGTGTTTCTGGGGAGAGAGAGAATGAGACCAGGGATTACTAGATGCTGCAAACGCCATCAAAACTGGCCTCTTTGAAGAACAGATTCCCAGTCTGGGCTGGTTAAAATTTCACACCTGTGTTCTCAGGGGATGCCTACGCTATGGGGACTATCACCGCGCCAGCATAACCCCGTTGTGTAGATTCCTAGATTCCATGGCCAGAAGGAACCATTGTGATCATAGGCGCTGACTTCCCCTCTGCCCCGTGGGTGCTCGACCTCCCCTTCCCACGGCCTCGCCCCTGCACTGCCCTCGCTCTGCCCCAATTCCACCCCCTTCCCCAAAGTCCCTGCCCTGCCTTTTCCAACCCTAGCCCCACTCCCTCCCTATCCCCATTCCACCCTCTTCCCCCAAGTCCCCAGCCTGCCTCTTCTCCAACTCCTCCCCCGAGCACGCCGAGTCCCCGCTCCTCCCCCTCCCTCCCGGAAAGTCCAAAGTCCCGCCAAACAGCTGTTAGGCGGCGGGCAGGAAGCGCTGGGAGGGAGGGGGAGTAGCGGGGATGTGGCGCGCTCGGGATGGGGGGGAGGAGTCGAGGTGGGGGCGGGGGGAGCTTGGCTGCCGGTGGGTGCGGAGCACCTCCTAATTTTTCCCCGTGGATGCGCCAGCCCTGCAGCACCCTGTATAACAACACAGGCCCTAGAACTTCCCCCAAATGTAATTCCTAGAGCAGATCTTCTAGAAAAACAGCCACTCTTGATTTAACAATTGTCAGTGATGGAGAATCCACCACAACCCTTGGTAAGTTGTTCCGGTGGTTAATTACCGTCACTGTTAAAAAGAGGTTTTATACTCACTATGGGAACAGTGCCTCCCCAGGTGCCAGTAGCTAGGTCGATGGAAGCATTATTCTGATTAGCTAGCTGCATCTACCCCGGGGGCTAGGTCAGCAAAGCTGCGGCACGCAGGAGTGTGGATTTTTCACACCCCAAGTGCGAGAGCTATGTCGACCTGCATTTGAAGTGTAGGCCAGACCTCAGCACGGCACTGGGATAGTGCGAGATGCGCAGGGCTTGACACTCACAAAAGTTCACGGGAATAAACTTCAAGCGGCTTAGTTAAAACTGCACTAATATCTGTGTGGACGCTTGGCTTCAGAATGAATTTGTTTGATCTTAATTCACTGTGGAAGCGAATTACTCCTCCTCTGACCACAGCAATCGACACTATAAAGGCGATACCGGCATAGGCTCCCGGTGTAGATCAGTTTACGCTGAGAGGAGGAGGAGTTCTGCCGGTGTGGGGGCACCACCTCTCTGAACAATGTTAGCTGTGCTGACAGAAGCCCTCTCTGTTGGTGTAGCTATGGCACTAGGGAGTGTTTTTTTCACGCCCTGACTAATGCCAGTATACGTTTTAAGTGTAGACCAGGCCTATTACCCATGCTTTGCACAATGGGGCCCCAATCTCCAAGAGGGGCAATAGGTGCCATGAGGAAGGCCCATGTCAATCTCCCAGAAATTGAGGTGCATAAAATCACTGCTTTTGAAAATGCTGACCACCCAAAAAAACCCCAAACCTGTGCCTCAGTTTCCCCATGAAATGGGGATAATGGCACCAGCTGACCAACCAGCCTAGCTCATTGTGAGGATTAATTAGCTCATGTCTATAGAGCACTTTCCAGATGCCCTGTTATATAAACCCTAAACATCAGTAACTTCCATCAGCTTACCGTGCAGCCATCCACCAAGGCACTGTATGTGAATCTGCTGTTGCCCTCGGCTCTGATCTCGACGTCATTGGATCCCTGTATCAGGATGGCTTTCTTCAGGTTGCCGGAAGCCTCGTCCATGTAGGCAATGCTGTTCTTGCAGTGGTAGGTGATGTTCTGGGAGCCTTCGGTGGACAGGAGGCGCAGGAAGGTCATCTGGATGTTGGCAGTGTTAGGGGCCAGGTTGTCATCTCCATAGCTAAACTGGAAGGAGAGATCGAGATGGTTAGTGAGTCTGAGTAGCAATGGGCCTCGAATGTCAGCTAGGAAGGTACATCAGTGTGTGTGAGACATATTGACTTTTCAGGACCATATCCAATTTTGTCCAGGTTTTTTTGGGGGGGAGGGGCTGGGGGGAAGACAGTTGAAATTTTGATGAAAATTTCCATTGAGCTTAAATGACATCAACCAGCTTGAGTCTTGAGCCCGTATTTTCAACAATGACCAGTAATTCCAGGGGGATTTTGTGGGGCGCCCAACCTGAGACATCTTAAAGAAAGCTGATTTTCAGAGGGCGGTTGCTCAGTATTTCTTGAGAATCAGGCCTCTTTGGAGGGGTTTCAAGTGGAGCCCCCTAAAATCACCACTCACTTTGGAAAAATGTAGGTCCTACTAAATAAAATGTGAAGCTGGATATAGAGGTAAAGAAGGGCTCTCCCTTCAAATAGACCATAGATCTCTCATCCCACCCCTAAACTCAACTTCTCCCCCAAGAGAGGCCATTTGAAACATTAACCACAGGCACTTACGTGGAATCCACCATTGATGGTCTCTCCAAACCAGATATGCTTCTTCTCCTTGCTCTTGCTGGTCCACCAGTGCTTCTTGGGAATGCTGGAGGGGTTGGGATAGACGCATGTCTCACCAGTCTCCATGTTACAGAAAACCTTAATGGCATCCAAGGTACAGCCCTGGTTAGGGTCGATCCAGTAGTCACCTGCAATGGCGGAAACACACGGGAGGTTGGCGTCTTGATAAAACTAGGACTAATGGGCTTTTTTGGTTTCATTTTGAAACTCAGGAGAGAGGCGGAGGGCTGGGATAGCAGAGGATGGTGCAGGTCAGGAATGAGGTGCATCCACGTGAGGTGTTGGAGGGGAGCCCAGGGCTGGAATAGCAGGTGGGAAGTGCAGGTGCAGTGCAATGTGCACTGGGAGAGAGACTTACGGGGGAGACCTCCAATGGAAGAGCAAGGGGGTGTGTGGGTTGGGACTGAGGGGCATCGGCAGAGCTGTGTGCGTGGGAAGCTGAGGGCTGGAATAGCAGGTCAGCAGTGAGGTGCATTGGCAGAGCGGCGGGTGGGGAGGTTTGCACAACCCCCTGTCCATACAATGCCCAAAGGGTCAGTATTGCCGAGGAGGCTGGCAGGGAGGGATTCAGAAGCCAAAATGCCTTAGTTCCCTCCTGGCTCTGTGGCCCCTGCAGCCCTTGTGCTGCAAGTGCCCACGCTCAGCACCCGGCTTTGTGCCCGGCACTCACCGCTCTTCCACTCAGGGTGGCAGAGTTTAAGGTCACGGCAGGTCCGGGCTGGGTTCTTCTTGGAGCCCTCGGGGCTGCGGATGCTTTCGATCTGGTTGTTGAGGGATTTCAGAGTGGCGTCGACCTCGACATCATGCTGGCGCAGGTCGCTAGAGGCCTGGTCAGCTCGCATGTAGCGCATAGGGTCAGGGCCTTTCTCAACCTGGCCCAAACCGGCGAAGGCCGACATGTCAATGCCAGGGCCTGGGGGGCCGGGAGGTCCAGGGGGTCCAGGGTTTCCAGGGGGACCCTGCAATGGGAGGGGAAAGAGATGATCCTTGTTTAGAACTCAGAGCCAATCTCCATGTTGCTGCTGTTCCCATTAGCACCTCCCTCTCGTAACGTCCCCATGTCCCCCCATGGGGCCCAGCAAAGGGGAAGACGAGGCCACGTCGAGCTGATGAATGGATTTACCAGTCTCCCGGCTGCTTCTCTGCTCGGAGATTTAACTGGAAACGACAGCCAGCTGCTGAGGTTAGATTGGGGTGAGGGAGTCACTGTGGGGGTGGACTGAGGTGATGGAGCCACTGAGGGAGAGAGATGGTGGGGGAATGGTGTTGCTGGGTGCAGACTGGAGTGACAGAGCCCATTAGGATGATGGAACCAGTCGGAAACAGAGCCGCTCGGGGTGATAGAACTGGGGTGACAGAGTCACTTGGGGCAGATCAGGATGATGGAGCTGCTCAGGGTGGATTGCGGAGATGGAGCTACTTGCGGGAGATTAAGATGATGGAGCAGGTCAGGGTGATGGAACCACTTTGTGTGGTTTAGGGTGATGGAGACACAGTACAACTGACTTCAAGGCACGTACGGGTCCTGCAGCTGCACTTCACTGGGAAGGCCAAGCCTTCGGTGGCGTATGGGGCTACGAGCTGCCCCATTAGCCGGTGGGCTTCGAGTCCTTAAGGCCCAGGCTGCAAGGCTGCCAGCTCTGCTGGGGCACGGTACTTACAGCAGGTCCGGTTTCACCACTACGACCGCGAGGACCTGGAGGACCAATCGGACCGGGCATGCCATTTGAACCATCTTTGCCAGAGGGACCAACAGGGCCTGGGGGACCCTAGAAAAGATTCACAAGGGGGGAGTTGAGAGCCAGGCCGTGAAAGAATCATGACGTGAAAAGACAACTGCAAGCTCTAAGGGCTCCGTGCGCTCATGAGGCAGCCAGGCTAATTCATAACGTAATGAATGGGGCACCTCGGACTTCCCCATCCATCCCTCTGCTACGTGCCATGGCCACTGAGAACCCGACTGCATCTGCCTATGCTGCTAACGGAGACTGACCTTAGTGCAAATGCTAAGGAGAATCTCCACCAGCTGTTAGCACTATAGGGGCAGTGACACACAGAGCAGCAATTCTCATTCCAATCAGCAAAGGTCACGTGTGTGTGGGTGTATACACACAGCTCATGACCTTACATTGGAAGTACAGAGTTCTTTATCCAGGTTACTAAAATCTCTCTTGAATTTCCCCTCCTTGAAGCTGGAAAGGGGACTAAAACCCAATGTCCTTTTTGCCCGTAATGCTGTTGATTTATTTTCTGCACTTTGCTCAGTTTGACTAAGTAAGTGACTAGGCCATTTCACCTGAACCTGCACTGTGCTTCTCCTCGGTCCATCCCCCGCTACCCTCCCGCGCTCCAGGAACTGGACTTACCCTGGGACCAGAAGGACCAGAAGGACCAGTAGCACCTTGATCTCCAGATGTACCCTGAAGGGGGTGGAAACAGAACCACGTGGTCATATCTCAGCATCTGGACAGCTTCCCTCTGGGGGTGCGGAACCCTGGCCAGACGGGATTCTGGGTGGGCAAGAGTGGCCCTTACCCAAGGGGTATGTTTGGTGTCTCTGAGGCATGAGCAGCCCAATGCCGGGTGAGGCCTGGGCCAGCGGAGGGCCCCCTTTAGCCATGCCAAGAGAGGCTGTCAGCTTCTCGCCTGGCCCAAGGCTAGGAGCTGTATGCCACAGCAAGGCCAACATGGCGGGGTGGTGAGAAGTTCCATTTGAAGGTGGCCCAGCTGGGCCCAGAGCCCCCTGCGCTCCCCTCTCCCAACCCACTTCCCCCAGAGAATGGAGGAAAGGGGGGACTGGCTTTGTTTGACTCCAAAGGGAGCAGTTGGGGTGGGAGGGCTCTGGCCTTGGAGGTGGTGGGATAGGCCTTCAGTGAGACAGGCTGCCGAACCTTCCAGGACACACAGATGGCTGGGGCAATGGTAGGAGCAGGATTACGCTCATGGGGCCAAGGCAGGGACACAGCCCAGCGCCCCAGCATCTGTCCCGGTCAGATCACCCTAGCACGGCATGTTCTGTCCCGAGTCCTGCACCGCAAGCTCGGGCTGAGGATGAGGCTCTGACGCTGAAACTTACGGGAGGTCCAGGAAGACCCTGCAAACCAGTGAATCCTCGGTGACCCTTCAGACCCCTCTCACCAGCCTCTCCAGCTTCGCCCTTGTCACCGCGAGGACCTTGAGGACCCTGAGAGAGGTGAAAGAGAAGAGCTTTCAGCCTGGGCAGGAAAAGTCAAAGGGCAGGACGTGGTCCAGCCCAGCGGGCTCGGCACACTACATGGACACACAACGCGCCGTAGGGTACGATCCAGCCCAGAGGGCCAGGCACGACGCATGCCAGAGTGCTGGGCACGTGCCACACACTGCAGGGCATGGCGCAGCCCAGAGTGCATCCCCTGCAGCTGGATGCAGTGCCAGTCTGTGCACCCCACAGGAGTTCCAGGTGGAAACCCCGTGCACTGACTCCCCAGGATCATGCAGAAGTAGAAAAGCATATAGAACAAAAGGGAAAATTCCCTCTCACAGACATATATCAGCCAGATTTCCAGAGGTGCTGAGCAGCTGCAACTGACGTCAGTGGAAACAGTGGGTGCTCAGCCGCTCGGGGGACCAGGCAGCGTATTCCTCATGAGGATGACTTACCGGCATGCCGCGTGCGCCTGCGGGGCCGGAGGGACCCATGGGGCCTTGAGCGCCCTGGAAAAAGACAAAGGTTGGTTATAGACATCATAATAATCCTATGAATGAGTCATCCATGCCGAGAGGCTGCCTATTGTAACATTTGAAGGGTTGGTGTTGACTCCTAGTTTCCAAGACTAGAAAGGTCAACTGTGGTCATTTAGTCTGACCTCCTGTACAGCACAGGCCACAGGACTTACTCCCAAAAAATTCCCAGAGCAGGCCTTGTAGAAAAACGCCCAATCTGGATTTCAAATTGCCAGCGACGGAGAATCCATCACGACCCTTGGTAACTTGTTCCCATGGTTAGTTACCCTCTGTTAAAAATGTGCATCTTATTTCCAGCCTGGATTTGTCTAGCTTCAGCTTTAAGCCGTTGGATCGTGTTAGACCTTTCTCTGCTGGACTGAAGAGCCCAGTGTTAAATATTTGTTCCCAATGAAGGTACTTCTAGCCTGTGATCAAGTCACCCCTTAGCCGATTGAGTTCCTTGTCGCTGTCACTATACGGCAGGTTTTTTAATCCTTTTATCTTTCTCCTGGCTCTTCTCTGCACCCTCCCCAATTTATCAACATCCTTCTTGAATTGTGGCCACCAGAACTGGACACAGGATTCCAGCAGCGGTCACACCAGTGCCAAAACCAGAGGTGATATAACTTCCCTATTCCTACTTGAGAGTCCCCGGGTTACGCATCCAAG